TTCTCACTATTGCTGCTCCTGAGGTACTTTACCATTCCTTTTCTTAACTCTGTTCACACCTTTGGAAGTAAACCCTTCTTAAACCCTCTTCAATTATTTTCCCCTTCAGAGAGACCAGTGGTCGGCAAACTCATTAGTCAACAGAGCCAAATATCAACAGTACGATTGAAATTTCTGTTGAGAGCCAAATTTTTTAAACTTAAACTATATAGGTAGGTACATTGTTATTAACTTAATTAGGGTACTCCTAAGCTGGCCTTTGCTAAAAATGTCCTCCATCTGATTGAGATATGTTTGCTGAGGTCGACCCCTTCCAACTCTCCCATCCATACTCGTCTTGTATACTTGTTTCGTCTATCTCCTTTCCGAAAACTGACTTCTGCGTATGGGCCACGAAGTTTCAATCGCACTGTGCGTGCACACCCACATGTGGTATTTTGTGGAAGAGCCACACTCAAGGGGCCAAAGAGCTGCCTGTGGCTTGTGAGCCGCGGTTTGCCGACCACTGAGATAGACCATTTGTCTCCTGCTGCAAACCTGAATGAACCAGGTTACAATGAAGGAGATTAAAGACAATGCAAAAAAAAGTCTAGATAAATATCTAAATCTCATACTCTTATAGAAACTTCTAACATGCACAGTAGATCTAACGAGCATTTACACATATTTATAGGAAAGTATGGCATGGCATTAAATCGCTATGGTTATAGATGAAACAACGTGGTGAATGACAGAAGGTGTTCACAGGTCAAAGGATGCTCTATTTTGATAATGAGATTTATAGGACTATGTGGATCTTTGGGGAAGTTCATATGTCCTCAAAAAAAAAAAGGGGATCTTACAGTCCCCCCCTCCCCCATTACTGTAGTTTATATTAATCAAGTACATACTATGTGTCAGGCACTGTGCTAAGTGCCTCTAATACATTACTTTGTTCAATTCTCATAACCATCCTACTAAACACATATTATGAGTTAAACAGGTTAAGTAGTTTGTTCAAGGTTACAAAGAAACTATATTACAGTGATTGGATATGTATGAACCCAGGTGTTTTGATAACAATGGCCAGTTATAATCTCACTATTTTGTTCCCTTTGTCAGAGTAGATTGTCTTCATGAATTGAGTATCAGCTAAAAAAATGCTACACATTAGTGAGAGAGAAACAGCAGAAGGTACCCTCCACTGAGGTAAATCAAATCAAATCTGGAGATCAATGAAATGACCAATATTGCAGCTAGATTTCTACCACATCCTTTGATGACACTGGGTAGGGAGTTGCTTTCAGCTGTTTGACATACTGTTATCAACAGGATTGACTTTGCAAGTTGGAAAACATTCCTCTGGCCATCATAATCAAGTAGCACCCTCTTTGTTTTCCCACCTCGATGTGGTACTCTAGAACAGCATTGCCATGGAGCACTTTCTACAATGACGAAAATGCTACATACATGATGCCAAATGTGGTAGCCATTATCCACATGATGCTACGGAGCACTTGAAATGTAGTTAGTGTGACTGAGAAACTAAATTTAAATTTAAAATTCGATAACCAAATGTGGCTACCCCTACTGTATTGACAGCATATTCTAAAGTAAAAATCTAAGGTGAAATATCAATGAAATGTTTTTTTCTATATGTTTAGAATTAGAAAGTATTATTGTGAAACTTTAGTCAAAATAGGAAGAACTGGGAGCTACTTGTATTCCTAAATGAATTTGTCAGCTGCAAGAGCTGCAATCTATCAAGTATAGCCCCAAATTCAAAGATAATGTATGTTCTTGGAGTATGATAGTGGATATAGTCATTGACAAAAATCCAGAAGTGTAATTTTTGGTATCAAAGTTTAGACAAAATTAGTTCAAACCTTTCATGGGGGCATGTTCACAGATGAACCTAAAGTGACACAGTTAGTAAGGGACAAAGTGGAGACTAGAATTCATATTTCTAGATAAATAATGAGATAATTGTTCACTTTAAGAAGTGATTACTTGATTCACAAAAGCACTCTCCAGCATTTAAAAAATACACCACAAAACATCCTAGAAAATGTAAAAGA